CCTCTCCCATCTGGCAATCACCAGTTTTTCTCTGTATCTATGAGTCCGTTTTCATTTTGTTTCCTCATTTATTTTGCTCTTTAGATTCCACATATAAGTGAAATCATATGGTATTTGTCTTTCTCTATCTGACTTATTTCACTTAGCATAATACCCTCTATGTCTACTCGCGTCATTAAAAAAAGTAAGATTTCATTTTTTCAATGGCTGAGCAACATTCTAGTGTGTGTGTGTGTGTGTGTGTGTGTACCATCGCTTCTTTATCTAATCATCTTTTGACAGGCACTTAGGCTGCTTCCATATCTTGGCTATTGTAAATAACCCTGCAGTGAACATAGGGGTACACATATCTTTTCAAATTACTGTTTTGCTTTTCTTTGGATAAATGCCCAGAAGTGCAATTGCTGGGTCACAAGGTAGTTCTATTTTTTTAATTTTTTTGAGGAAACTTTGAATTGTTTTCCCTTTTCTCCACATCCTCACCAACACTTTTTTGATATATCAATGATAGTTATTCTGACAGGTGTGAGGTGATATCTCATTGTGGTTTTAATTTGCATTTCTCTGTTTAGTAATCTTGAGCATCTTTTTATATTGGCCATTTGTATGTCCTCTTTGGAGAAATGCCTATTCAGGTCCTCTGCCCATTTTTTAATTAAATTGACCATTTTTTTAATATTACCTTTTATAAACCTACAAAACTAAAAAAAAATTTTGTAGGCTCTGTCAGGGATAAATTTACCAAATTATGCAGAACACTCAGATTTTATTATTCAATGAGTTGAGGCTACGTACAGGCTCCCCAATCTACAGTTCTCATTGGGTTTTAGGACACTGGATTGGCTTTCTGTAACATATCATTTACATGAGCTGAGCAAATAAAATCTCTGCACTGACACAGGTTACTACCATTGCTTTGAAAGACTTCAGATCTAACTTTGTATAGAATTTAATTATAACAAATAATTATACGTGCCATGTCTTAAATATGAGTGATACCATTTATCTGAATAATACAAATTTTCCTATGACCCTACTGTCTTTTGAGAGCTCATTACAGGGCTTAGTTTCCAAGCTCTAAAAATTGGTTTAATACATATGATATCAGAGAAGTAGCCAAAAAGTGGGTGAAGATCCTGGTTGCTGAAAATTAATTAAAGTAATTATTCAGTAAATATGTAATAATTTGCAGCTACTTGGCTTGGAGTTTACTATCATAGCATCTTCAGGGCCCCGATCTAGCCCTGATATATAAAATATATATCAAGATGTAGTTGGGATAATAGCCTAGAGACAAGATTGTAACCAGCCAGGTTATAAGCTCTGAAATAACGGCAGTTGAGGAAGGAGTTCACACTTTGTGTCTGAAGACTGTTAATAACAATATTGGGTGAAGATGGTGGAGTGGATAAACACTGTGCTCACCTCCTCCCACAACCACATCAAAATTACAACTATGGAAAAATCATCACTGAGAAACAACTTAAGTCTCTCTGAACAGAAGTCCTATAACTAAGGATATACAGAAGAAACCACATCGAGACTGGTAGGAAGGGTGGAGATGGAGTACTGGCTGGTACCCCGCTGCCATTGCAGCAATTAAAAATGAGAAGGAATATCTCAGCTGCTGCAGTGGTCCCCCCTGAGGAGTGATGGGTCCCAGCTCCAAACCAGGCTCACCAGCCAAGGGTTCCAGTGCCAAGAAGAGAAGTTCCCACAACTTCTGGCTGTGAAAACCAGTGGAGGTTATGGCTGAGTGAGACAGAGGACTGCGGGAGTACCAGGTGTGTTACTTTTAAAGGGCCTACACATGATCTTAATCACTGAGGGACTCACTTGCTCTGAGCTCCAGCACTGGGGCAGGCACTAGGGACATATGGGGTAGAACTGAATTGTCTGGTTTCCGGGAGAGGGCTGGAGGGACAGCTTTCTCTCAGATAGAACTGCTAATAGAAGCCATCGTTCTTTTGCTGAGCCTTCCCTACATCCAGATTGCAGGTGCCATATCTGAGTTTCCATCAACCTGGCTAACACCATTTGCTCTGCTCTGGTGATTCCCTGAGACCCTGTTCCACCCAAGCCACTTCCAGTGGCTTTTCCACACAAATGGCCTATCTTGGCTCCTGCTGCAGACTTTCCTAAATCTCTCAAAAGTCCACAAACCCCAAACAGCATCTGGTCTCGGCATAACCTGTACCTCTTGCCAAGGTAACCCCAAGCCCACAGCTAATGGCAGCATGCCTTGGTTCAAAGCTTAGCCTCTCCCAGTTGCCTCCTAGCTCAGTATAAGTGGAAACCATCTGCAGATCACTTTGTAGCTCATATCAAGTGACCCCGGGCAAGGCACAGGCAGCAGCTGGCCCTGGCCTGCACCAGAGCCCCTTCTAAGGGGCCCCAGAACCAACATACCCAGTCACCAGCCACAGACCACACTAGAGCACCACCCAACCACTTCCACAAATAATACACCCCAAGGGTGGACTCAGCAGGCATCAGAGCCCTGCTAACGTAAATCATGCTCCACAGATCAACCCCTATACAAACAGTTCCTCCACTGCAGTAACGGCTAGTTCTCACGGCCAATCAACATGAGGGTCAGTCCCTTCCAATGATGTGCCAACAGCTATCAAGGCTCAACTACAAGAAGAGGGCACAAATAACCCATACAGAGGACACCTGAAGCATCTGGCTCAGGCAACCAGGGAGACTGTGCCATTAGGTTCCACAGGACACCTACTATATTAGGTCACCCTGCCAAGACTGGGAAATATAACAGATCTACTTAATACATAGAAACAAACAGTCCGCCAAAATGAGGAGACAGAAACATGTCCCAAATAAAAAAGAGGAGAAAATTTCAGGGAAAAAAAAATAAACAAAATAGAGGCAAGCAATCTACCAGGTACAGAATTCAAAACATTGGTTATAAGGATGCTCAAGGAACTTAGTGAGAACTTCAACAAAGAGATAATAAGCATGAAAAAGGACACATAAACCATAAAAAAGAACCAGTCAGAAATGATGAAAACAATAATGGAAATGAAGAATACAGCAGATTAGATGAAGCAGAGGATCGAATCAGTGATTTGGAAGAAAAGATATCAGAAAACACCCAATCAGAACAGCAGCAAGAAAAAAGATTCCAAAAAAATGAGGACAGTTTAAGGAACCTCTGGAACAACATCAAGCATACCAACATTATCATAGGGGTGCCAAAAGGAAAAGAGCATGAGCAAGGAATTGAAAATCTGTCTGAAGTAATAATGACAGAAAACTTTCCTAACCTGGTGAAAAAAATAGACATAGGAGCCCAGGAAGTGCAGAGTCCCAAACAAGATGAACTCAAAGAGGCCCACACCAAGACACATCATAATTAAAATGCTAAAAGTTAAAGACAAAAGAGAGAATCTTAAAAGCAACAAGAGAAAAGCAGTTAATTAAACTACAAGTGAGCTCCCATAAGACTGTCAGCTGATTTCTCAACAGAAATTTTGCAGGCCAGAAGGGATTGGCAGGTAATATTCAAAGTGGTGAAAAGCAAGGACCTATATCAAGATTATTCTCCCTGGCAAAGCTATCTTTTAGAATTGGAATACAGATAAAGAGCTTTCCAGAGAAGAAAAAACTAAAGGGGTTCATCACTACCAAGCCAGTATTATAGGAAATGTTGGAGGGACTTCTTTAAGAACAAGAAAAAATATGTATCAAAAATATGAATGATAAAATGGCAATAACTACATATCTATCAATAATTACTTCAAATGAAAAAGAATTAAATGCTGTAATCAATAGATAAGATGGCTGAATGGATAAGAAAACAAGACCCTTACATATGCTGCCTACAAGAGACTCACTTCAGATAATTAAAACAAAGGCTATATAACAAAGAGACAAAGAAGGACTCAGCAATTCCACTTCTGGATATTTATCCAAAGAAACCCAAACACTAATTTGAAAAGACATATGCATCCCCATGTTCACTGCAGCATTATTTGCAATAGCTAAGATATGGAAGCAATCTAAGAGTCCATTGATAGACGAATGAATAAAAAAAAGGTGGTAGATATATACTGTGGAATATTACTTGGCAATAAAAAAGAGTGAAATCTTGCCATCTGCAATAACATGGATGGACCTAGAGAGTATTATGCTAACTGAAATAAGTCATGCAGAGAAAGACAAATACTATAGTATTTCACTCATATGTGGAATCTAAAAAATAAAATAAATGAATAAACAAAACAAACAAACTCATAGATACAGAGAATATTTTGATGGTTGCCAAATGAGAGAAAGCTAGGGGAATGGGTGAAAAAGGGAAAGGGATGAGGTACAAATTGGTAGTCACAAAACAGTCATGTGATGTGAATGAAGTCCAGCATAGGGAATATAGTCAATAATATTGTAATAACTATGTATTACGTTAGACGGTTCCTAGACTTATGGAGGTGATCACTTCATAAGTTATATAAATGTCTGATCGCTATGTTGTACAGCTAAAATTAATATTGTATGTCAACTATAATTGAAAAATAAAAAATTATTTTAAAAATATATCAGGCTGCTTTCTTCTCCCTGTTACCTGAGCTCAGGTTCTCACACCTTGAATGAGACTAAGAGAAAGGAAGAAAATGTTTTCACAGGTACTTACATGTGTATATAGTCTGAGGGGCTGTGGCAGGGAGTGTGTAGTGCCAAGTGGATGAAAACATGAAGCAATCAATCTTCTGATTGTATTAAATATTTTAAACTGTATCTTTTTTATTTTCCCCAATTTTTCATATTATTTCTGTCTCTTTTCTATTTATGTTGAGGTGAAAAAATAATTATTTATTAGGTGGCCAAAAAGATAAGCCATCCCTAGTCGGGCTTGCTAATGAGGCCGTTTTAGAAATGGTATAGGGCTAAAGGTTACCACCCACAGAAGAAGATCCTCCAAGTGCAATGAAAGTACACCTGACATGTGGGTGACTGTGCACATTGGCTGATGGCTAACTCACCTTGGCAAGCTCCAGTGCGGATGTTGGGGATGAAGCCCCGTCGGCAGGGCTGAGGCTGGGCCGGACACATCTCACAGGGGTGGCCCCAGGCCCGTCCAATGGTGGCACAGCACAGAGTCTTTGTGCAGACAATGCCTGTCAGCTGCCCTTGGCACATCTGGTTGTTGACCTGCGTGAAACACGGGCCTGTCCTATAATCTGAAATGTGAAAGAAGACGAAAAGAGGTCTCATGATCACACACCAATCTTACACCAATGCATAAAACAGAGGCTATTTCTTCTCATTAAAGTGTCTAACCACAAAAGGCCAGGAAGTTTTATTTTGAAAATTCATAATTTTTCAATCATGAGACTTCAGTGTAGTCTACACTAGACACTGTAAATGGGTAGCTCAAGCACTGTGTCTGGGACACAGATGTGTTTTCTTGGCCTGCATAATGTTTTAAAAGAATTTAAATTAGTAGCCAACATTTTTAAATTGGGAAATTTCACATGAAATTTGTATTTCTGGCTTTTCTTGAAAAGTCAGATGTTCTGGCCAAGCTAGGCCTGCCATGCTGCATGGCAGTGTTGGAATGAAGTGCGTCCTCTCTGTGACACCACAGCCACAGCCACCCCTACACCCCCAGCACTCTTTACTCATTCATCTTACTCACCTGAGCCCTGATAGCACAGGCTTTAATTATTCTTCTTTGCCTAGCAAAGATTTTCTTTCCTCACTAGGTGGACAAGAGTTCAAAAAATCAAAACAGAACTGTTAACATATATGAATATTAAGGACAGTCTATTTTGATGCCTGAAACTCAAAGTATGGTTCATGGACCAGCACCATATGCATCACTTGTTTGCTAGTTAGAAATGTAGACTCAGGCCCCACCTCAGACTCACTGAACTAGAATCTGCATTTTAATAAGATACTCAGGAGATCCATATGCACATTAAAGTTCAAGGGCTGATCTAGAATACAGGTAACTTGAAAGTTAGGCATTTCTATTCTAACTCTCCTCCTGCTATAATTTACTTCAACGAACCTTTCAGATGATCAATATATATTCTTTAAGCAGAACTGAATCATTAACTAAATAGTTTTTAATTTGAGTGCTGCTGTTTTGAAAAACATGGGAAATCAGAATGGCCAGTTTCCTGAAGACTAACCAATTAAATGATTCCCATTTGTTATAAAGTTACAACAGAAATATGTGAAAAGGTTCTTCCCCCCCTTTTACAGAGATTATATGCATATAGTTTATTAACTCCTGGGAATGTAAGATGATAGCCAGGATTTCCTGATAAGCCCTAACACAAATAACATAATTCCATGTGAAGGGGAAAGCCAGAACATGTTTGAGATTTTTGTAAGAGAAAAACAATCTCACATTCAAAGGAAGAAGAGTCAATAATGTTGATAAGATTTTTATGAAAAAATGTTCCTGGAAAAAATAAAACTTGGATATAATTTAACATTCAAAACGATAGGCCAGAAAGACTTAGATGTCATCTACATGCTATAGCATGACAAAAATACAACTTCAAACCACATGAAACTTCTAATTTTTTAATATAAAGTTTCCTCAAGAGGAAAAGAACATTTTAAAAGTTCAATATAAAGAAACAAAATCTAAAATAGGTAACGCTTTTGAGCAAGCTGTTTTAACATTCTATTACTCTGTAGCTGAACTTCAACAAAAATAGTCCATTTTAATCCCTTACATAAGAACAACAGATGTGCTGGCTACAAATCACGTTCTTGAAAAAGACAATCTTTGTAGTATACGTGTAGATATGCAAGCTTGTAAATAAGCATGCTTCCCACACCACAAATTGCCAGGTTGTAAATTTTTTAAACCTATTCTATCATCCTCCAGACAACACATTATTTTGCCATTTTAAATAAATATTACTCACAATAAATTAAATCAAGTCCTGAAGAAGTTAGGGAAAAGTTTAATTTTCACAAAAAACATAAAACACTTGCTTTTCATAGATCCGTGCATATATACCTATGTTGACTTTCTGTACACTTTTAGGATTCTCAGAGATAAGCTTATTTAGCTTCTCTCATAATCCCATTCTTAAATAAACCAACTTGTCAGGAAATTCATTCTTTCTTCTAACTACAACACCTTCTTAAAATTATTTCCTTTTAGTCTGTTCTCTTTGAAGAAGAAGACAAGGATAGCTGATTTGGGGGTTTGGGAGAGGGTTTTTATTGTTATTTATGTTTTGATTTTGTTAAATATATTTTTGTTATGTTTTATGGAAGGGACGAACATTTCTAAAAGCCAAAAGGAATAACGTAATTGAAAGAGAGGGCTCATGAGGCTTATGATTACCAAAAAGAGTAATAACTTCTAGTATAAGATCCCTGAGGAGTCAGGCTGCAAGTGAAACCAGAATTGGTGTGGAGTTATCCATAGATAGAAAAGCGCCTCTCTTGAAGCCTGAGGGAAGAAGGGCAGGATGCACAGAGATGTAGGCATATTTATATAGTACAGGGAAAATGAGCAGTGTCCTCTCCCATACTTTCTATTTTCTTTGTGAAACAGAAAATGGGACAGTAAGTCTTTGGTGGGGGTTGGCTGGTGTCTGATCTTTGAGACTGAGATGACACTGCAGACACTAGGCGAGGGAGCTGACCTGAGAACCCAGCGGATCCCCAGGTGACACCCCAGGACTCTGCATGGTGGAAGAACAAGATAAACTTATAGGGGACCAATCTGCCTGTTTTGTGACTTTTTCCAGAGGCTCTAGGCCGTTCAGAGGTTCACTCGGAGATTAAGATTCATTCAGGGCTAGGGTTTTATGTCAGACGTGAAAAAAATTTGTAGGATGGCAAGGGAGTTTAGGGTATCACGTACTTTAAAATTAAAGACCATGAAATCTATGGTGGATGAAATGGGAAGCGGAGAAAGGAGAAAACTGATAGATTAAGAAGTAAGAGAAAGCAGTGAGATCAATGGACTAGGTACCCCAATCAGGCCCCACATGAGAAGGGAAAATAGTGACAGTAATACATCATCAGCTGCCCATGTGGTTATAATATCATTTATTTAACTGTCAGCAGAATGCAGTTATTGTATACAGCTGCATAGATTGTAAACTGCATCATTCAGGGAAACTATCCACATATACTGTAATGTAAAATGTCACCCCCTCACATTGTGCAATAGGATGGCCTTGTTAGAGACCTTATATGCAAGTCAAACAATGCCACGAGATATCAGAATTCCATCCATTCCTACTTGATTATAAAGAATTGTCTGATCCTAGAAAGTATATGGAAATATGTGGGATTTTTCATCAAGTTGCACAGTCTTTGGACTTAGGCAAGAAGGCACTCCCATTCTCAGGAACCAAAGAAATGTAGCGTGTAATCAAGTGATTACCTTATGTGAGAGCTACAGACATGAGTGAGTATAAGGAAGAATTGTGGAATGTGGGTAATGGATCTAAAAATCTTGGCTATGTGACTATCTCTTTGAGTAACAGAGTTTTTGACACAGCAATTATACATAAGGTTTGGTCACCCATCAGGGTTATAATTGAGACTCTAGTCAGTGTAGCGGCTAAAATCTCTGATCATAGAAATAATTGGAGCACACAAAGAAGGCAACCACCCAAATTATACGCGATGATAGTTTCTATAGTTTTAATAAAATTTGCCCTGAATGTCTGCAGATCGAGACTTCATGCCAGGTCTAAATATTCAAAGTTAAACAAACTCAAATATAACTGAGATGGTAATTGTCTTTCTTGACAGACAAGCATCTGTGAACCTCAGATAATTTTAGAATTAAGTGCAGAAATGTTTAAGAGAATCAAAGCCATTAAATTAATATATTTGCTTTAAAGAATAAGTGCAAAAATTATGTACCTGTAATGTTTAACAGAGTTTGGCCCATTCTATTAGATTGCCTTGTAACCACAATTTTAAATAAATAAAATATTTATTTAGAGTTCTGATTTTTAAGTTAAAATGTGATTATGTTTATATAGAGAACTGGATCATTTAATTAAATAAATTTATATTTATAAGTCTGAGTATTTATCCATTTAGTTCTTAATTAGCTTTATAAATTATTTGAGTACTTGGCAAAGGTTTCTAAGTTCCATGACTAGAGTATTTAAGAAAGATATTAGATGTATTTAATATATAAATTAAGCAGATTAAAAGGTATGGAGGTGTTTCATTAACAAGTATAAAAATGGAATCAAATACTATTTAAAAATCTCTTAAAGTGACTACAAAAATCTGCTAGATTTATTAATAGATTAGTAATATTTATAAGTTAAATTTAAAAGCTCAAGGAATATACCCTAAAGAACTGAAAACAGGGACTTGAAGAAATATTGGTATATTCCCACCCTGTCCAACACCAAGTAGAGGCATCTACCAAGAGGTGGATGCAACATGAGTGTCCTTTGATAGATGAATGCATAAACAAAATACACACAATGGAATATTATTCAGTCCTAAAAAGGAAATTCTGTCACATGCTACAACAGAGATGAACCTTGAAGACATTATACTGAATGAAATAAGCCAGTTACAAAAGGAAAATGTTCTATGATTCCACTTATGTGAGGTACCCAGAGTAATCAATTTCATAGAGACAGAAAGTAGAATGGTTTTTGTCAAGGGCTGGAAAAGGAATAAGGAGTTAGTGTTTAATGGGTACAGAGTTTCAGTTTTGCAAGATGAAAAGAGTTCTGTGAACAGGTGGTGGTGATGGTAGCATGATAATGTCCCCGCGCTAAATGCCCCTGAACTGTGTATTGAAAAATGGCTAGGATGGTAACTTTCGTTACGTTTATTTCACAATTAAAAAAAAAGAGTTTTAAAAAGCTCAAGAAATAACCAGAGTTTTGACATTATATTTAAATAAAGCAAACCTGAATTTTTAACACCAAAATAAACTAAATTTTTTCATATACAAAATCACCCATGAGGGCACTAAAACATCCCCCTGTAACACTGACCACTTACCTTGTGATGGATATTTATGCTGCTTACAATTGATTACAATGTTGCATGGGTTATTCTTGAACATATTTACTGACTACCTAACTTGGCTTTGTGTAAGGTAAATTCCTAGCACTGGAATTACTAGGTCAAGTGTCCAGTTTGAAAAATAGTCAAACTGGAAAAATAGTCAGAACTGCTCTCTGAATAGGTGATGCCAGTTTCTACTCACAAT